AATGAAACTTTGGGGCAACTTTAACTTTGCACACAAGCTTTTTGGATGCAAAGAGAAGCTAGGGCAGCTGAGATTCTTTATTATTAAAAATCTCAGAAACCTTGTATTACAATTTTCTGAAATAATAAAAATAAAGACCACTGTTTATATTGCATTCTCCTTTCTGACACTGCCATTTGGGATAAACTGCAATAGTAAGATGAAAACTCTAAATTCTAATTTCTCAAATAAGTGCTTTTTAGGGGTTCAGAAAGAGAACGAAATGTATTTGAAAAAAAACAAGTGACATTCTTGAACACTTTCTATAGGAAAGGCCGCAAAGTTGTCTGCTTTAAGATGCCTCAGCAGAATTCCTCAACAGACAGCAAGAGCCAAACACAGTCCCATGGAAATACGGCCAGAGTCCAAACTTCCCAGAGGCCTTTGCTCTTAAAGCATTGCTTACGACTTGCTCAGGAGCCAGCAGAAAGGATGTAGGACAGCTCCCACCTGGGCTGAAAGACAAGAGATGCTTTGATGCAAGTTAACTTAGGAAATGCTCCATGCTGTTGGTGGAGAGCTACAGTCAGAATCCCAGCAAGGGTAATGGAGCTGTTGGGAAAGGAAGTTCAGGCCTCAAACAGCAGAGAGGATAATAGTTAAGAGGAAATGTAAACCCTTCTCAGGCATATAGCTAACAGGAATCCTTTTGTCTCTTTGGTATAAGTAACAAGTCTCTCCTGTTAACAGAAATAGAAAATGTATGTGTTACAGGTAGAGTCAAACTGTCAGGCATGAAATATCTTTGCTAAAGGCTGCCAGATCGAGGCTGCAAAAATCCAGGTGACCGTGAGATGGCTACAAAGAGTTAACGTTATCTGTATCTCTTTGCTCCATCTAACGCTTCTGGCAATTTTTGCAGCCACACGTATAGTTGCCCTAGCTTTGCTGCAGTTCAGTCTGGAATTCAAAAGTGTTATTGCACAGCCTAATTCCTTCCACTCTTTCCTTTCATAATTCTTTTTGGTCACATGTTCATTGAGGGGAATTACATGTTTCACTTCTGCCATACTTAAGGAAGCTATTGCAGTCTCTATAGAACTGCCAAGGTCTCTTACGATGGGACCATTTGTATTACAGGAAGTTCATCAGGGAAGGAAATGCTTAATTCTCCTGCCAGGTGTATTGTCCCTAAAGCTTCTCCTCAGCAACATTTGCTCCTGATGGGTTTCAAGGTCATTTTCATCAGGTAGACATGCATGCCAAGCATGGTGACTGCAGAAGAAGCCGGTGGTAGGAAATCCTCAAAGGAGAAGCAACAATAAAGAAAATCTTTTATTGCTGCAGCATGCTTCTATTTTGCTGATATTCAAACTTTTTAATGCAAAGCAGGATAGAAATTAACAGATCCACAAAAAATATAAAATATGTCTTTCCCTCTAGCCCATGGTACAATCTTAGGTGAGAATAGCCTAAAGGTTTCCATATATCAGTGTTAAGTTACAAACTTCATCCTCATGATCCTCCTAAAATTGATAATAAATGTCCCTCTTTCAATTGCATGCAAAATGGTCAAGCAGCCCTGGTTAAATTGTATGTTCAAATGAATCTCTAGATGAACATAAGCTGATTCAAAGTTAACATGAACATCTTTGTGCAAATATGAATGCATGCTTACCATTTATGTGCAGTCATTTCTAGTTTCAGGATAAGAAAACAGTGAATCCAAAACATTATTCTCAAATGTTTCAGGCTTATCAAAGTTTTCTTCTGCAGATTTTAGATGATGAGGTTAAAAAACAAGTTTCCTTCTGTCATCTCCCACATGGATCATTGTTATATAAGCAACATTGTACTATGCACCTGTGGACTTTTTAGGAGGTCATTTGCAGTGAGTTCTTTTGCAGATTTAACCAGTTTGGGGGCAGTTCTAGCAGGTTTCTTGGGTTTCTCACAGTTAAAATTGCTAACTGAAAGAGTTTAGAGATTTCTTTTGCAAGAGTGAATTATCCTCATTTTCAAATGCACAGGCAACTGCTTAGAGGAATCTGTGTTTGTTAAAAGTAGAACAATCACAACCTGAAAGGTTAGATGCTTCAGAACATTTGTTCACCTGTAGAACTGTGTTTTTGAGGCTAATTATAGACCTAACAAGTCACTCAACTTTCAGGGCCTTTCCTTTAACTTCCCAGTAAAAAAAAAAAAGTATGCAGTGAATCCATTCAAAGAGCATCCAAACCCATCTTAGTCACTGTTTTCTTATTTTAATTCTGTAAACAGCTGCACATAAATAGTAGGCATGCATTTATATTTGAAGAAAGATGTTGTGTTTAATTCTGTACCAGTAATTTCTATTCATTGAAATGTACAATTTAACCAGGGAGTATCTAAACATTTACATGCAACTGTATCTTCCTATGATTATATTTTATAGCATTTTTACTGTCAAAAATACTAATCTGCTGGTCAAACCGAAGCCCTGTTGATTCCAGCATCATGCTTTCCACAATAGTCAACCAGTTATCTGTAGAAAGCCCATAAGCAAGAGATGAGTACAATACACCATCCCACTAGAGTTTCCTAGCAACTGGAAATGAGAAACCTACTGCCACCATTTGCTAGAGGTATTGTATAGCCTTCATGCTAGTAAGCTTTGCTAGACTTATTCTCCATTAATTCATCTTAAGAACATTTTTGTAGCTGTCCAAGTTGGCCGCCACTGCTCTATTTTGTGATGCAAAATGCCACATTTTGGTTATGGGCTGTGGGAGCTCTTTGCTACAGCCATCCTTGTAATCCTCCTGGAACATTAAATAATTTTAATTTACTGTACGCCACCCAGAGACACCTCCTAGTGAGATGGGCAGTGACCAAATTTGAAATATAAATAAAATAAATGTAAATAAATAATTTTTTATTGTCTCTTAATGTAAAGATCAGAGGGAATAATGGTGTGTGTCTTCATGGCTCAGGTAAATGTTAGAACTGAAACTTCCACAAAGGGATACTGTGGGGAAGAGAATAGAGTAGCATAAATTTGCCTTCCCCAGTCAGGTGGTCGTTAACTTCATAGCTTGCAAAGTTGGGAGATGTGATGGATTGGGATGAGAAGATTCAAGGACAGAAGCATCTCCTCAGCCCACAGCTTGAGCATCGGAAAGCGAAGAGGATGAGACTAGCACCACCTTAAGGAATTCGTAGTGTTTAGTTGCTGGCTTGGGGAGTTTAGAGTTAGTCTGGCGAAATTCTGTCTAGCAGGTGCGAGCTAATAAAGTAACTGAGCTGTTCCAGAACTGTCTCGTGGAGTTTCTTGGGCTTAACCTGACAGGAGTGGTCCTATCACATCTGCAGGGTACTAGATTGTACTTTCTATCTAGACCGTTAATTAGAATTCTCACTACATATACTAGCACAGACCAGAAGTTCTAATTTAGAATCTAGTTATACACTATTCCTACTTGCTGCTGGGATTATAACTCCCAAATTCCCAAGCAGCTGGAGGGCACCAAGATGAGGAAAGCCATACTAATTCTCTTTTTGTAACTTTGAAAGGAAACACTAGAAGCAAATACTGTGAAGTATAGTCCTGTAAGATTTGTTCAGCAAATTTTTTTTTGATGAATTCAGTAAAACCGAATTCTCCTGGGTAAATAGGTTCAGGATTGTTGTCTCAGATGGAGGCATTGTGGGTACCACCCATGTCCTATTTTGTTATCGTTCTTGCACACCAGAATTTCTTTAACTCTGTAGTGCACTTCTCTAGAATTCCTTATGAAACAAACAAACAAACAAAATCTCTCTTTTAAAAATTATTTATATGTAACATCATACTTTTTCTTCTTTTTATAATTGTGTTTTATTAAATTTCCAAAGTATTACATTTAACATCTCTGTGGAAAAAGAAACTTAGTAGTCTGTGGTACTATATATAAATAGCAATGTAACTATACTGTTGTTTTTTTTAAGTATAAAAAGAAATTTCAGCTATTACATTTTAAAAACCTATATAGTAAAGAAGAAAGAAAGAAAGATTAAAACCCTTTAGTAAACAATCAATAAAGAAGGAGAAAAAAGAAAGAAAAAAAAATCTGGATGTCTGATGAAGCATGTTAAGTCACAGCATTTACATGACCTGGCCAAAAAAGTTGATAAGGAGTCAATTACTGTTTTCTGAGGCCTGAACAATAAACATCTGAGGATGAGGAATGTGACACTTCTAATAAGCAGCAGTATTTTGTTGGAGTTAATAATCCAGTCTGTTCTCTACTGTCCAAGATTTAATAGGTCAGATCAAGACAGGTATTTTTTCTTAAAATCATGCCATTAAACCTGTAAGATAAAAAAACAGAGTATCACTAAATACAGAAATTAAGCTGAGAAATGATACCACTCAAAATATTTCCTGTTACACAATATTTGTTAATCAAAGTATAAAGAAAAGCTAACCCTGAATTTGGTCAAGAAAGAGAGAAACATTACCTAATGCTGCCTGGACAAGAGAATATCCTGTGAAGTGTAAAATTCCATTTAATTTTTTCTTCAATAGTAAATATGCTGGACTTAAACAAGATGCTCTTCTGAATACCTCCCCATTTTATAACATAGTTTTGTAATGATTATTAAATACTTTATAAAAGATAGTTCCTGTAGGCATGAACATTGGGGTAGACATGCATAGGATTCTGCTGTAAGATTACTAATCCTTCTTTGTGGAGAAATATAAATGCTTGCCAAAATAGTGCAACTATTTCATTACAAATATGCCATTTGAAAGAGGGGAACAATCATGTGCTTCAGAGCATAGCTTCAAGCATATTAGTAAATATTGAAAAATATTTACATCTGCATGTCTTAAAAGACAGAAACTTCCGTTGCCTCATCTCCCAAATTTAGGCTGTGGTAAATAAAACATGCATGCAAAAGGTAAATATAGAAAAAAATATATTTTTGACAAACTACATGGGATTATCTGTTATGTGTATGACAAATAGTAATGAAAACTTCATTTTCTTTCATCTCAGGGCAACTGGAATGAGGAGTATAGCCCAACTTGAAAGGAACAATGGAACATTACCAAAGATTACTCACTGAGAGCAAGTTTGGAAGAGAAAACAAAGTATTACAATTAAGGGGAGTAGGACCTGTTTCAACACAAAAGTCTAAATTTTGTTAAATTAACTCTGAAAACAAAGCAATCGCCTTCTGCTTTATTCTATGTGAAGTCCAACACACATACATACTCATAAGCTATTCTCTTTCAGGGCAAACAAATGTATTTAACATGCAAATAAGAAGAAGTAATATGCAGAATTAAAGGCAGGAGATAAGAGAAAAGAAAATGAACTCTAATTAAATTTAGTTTACACCAGCACTGTTCACTATACCTTTCCATATCTCTCCATCCTTGGAAACTATCTGTCCATAAACCCATTGATATATTGCCTTTTGTTCTTTAAATGTCATACCATTCTTTTTCAGGAACTCATCAACTCCATCTTTTCCCTTCCTCTAACTCTTCCTTCATACAGTATATTTGTTCAAGATCATTCATTGTCTGTATATGACCAAGTCATCTCAATATGCCTTTCATACTGGTTACTCACTTTTGTATTCAGTCCATATTCTTTCAGCATCCATTCATTCTTGACCTATCTCTTCTTGTTTCACTACACACACAAGCACACACACAAATACACATTTCTTGTTTCACCATACACTTAAGTTCTCCCTTCCCACTGCATTCAACTTTTATGTTTTTCTTTACATACTCAACTCTCACTTCCATATAACAAATATACGCAGGCAGCTTTGCTTCTTTCAACAAGCATTTTTCAGAACAGGCCTTATACTACTCACTACTGTTCTATCATCTTTTACATATTTCTGAACTTCTCAATTTTTCCATCTTTAGTAAGCATTCTACTAAGGTAGAGAAATTTACTTACTTTCTTTAATATTTTCCCATTTATGTGTAATTTGCAACTGTTCACTCTATCTTCCTGTCAAATATAACTACACTGATTGTCGATACATTAATTTTCATATTCATTGTTATATAATCTAAGATTCCTACAAATCATTTGGGTTCTCAGCCAACAACATCACATTATTTGCGTAAACACATTCATCCAACCAACACATCTCTAACATTACCACCATAAACATATTAAAAACCAGTAGGATATTAATCCTTGTGTTTCTTACTCTTCAGTGTTGAACCATTCGTTAAGCATTCATTTATTCTCATGTGTGGTTCACTTTAATCATATACTGCTCTTATTGCATTGAACAAGTAATCTTCCATGCTACATTTTCACAAAATGTTCTATACATCAAGCCTATTTACTTCTGTCATATGGCTTCTCTAAATTAACAAACATTCAACAAACTTTCTTTCACACATTTATACATTTCTCAGTGAGCAAAAATGTGGTCTTGAGACCCCTTCTTGGAATAAAGCTGCACTGAATATCTCCTATTTTGCTCATCGTCCTTTTATATCAGAGTTCTGCCAAATTCTTTCCCAGGCACACTTATCCAACTAATTCCCCTATAACTGTTACATTTAGTCTTGCTATCTTTTCTTCTGTATAGGGAACAGTAGCGGCAGTCTTCACATACATGTTAGCTAAGTTACATAGCCACTTTATAAGCAAACCACATCCATAATTTTTCTTCATTTACACCAGCAGTCTTACCATTTTTCAACATTCTCACACCATTTATTACATTTTTTCCTCATTTTTTTCTTGGATACAAACACTTAAAATATTTGTTTAAATTCTTCAACATATCACTATCATACCTATACAGATTTCTAAAATACTCCTTTCCGAATTCCCTGTCTTCAGTTGTACTCCAAATCATTCCATCATTTCTATTTTTAATCTCATTCATTCTGCTAGAAACTTCTAGTTTTATACTCTTCATCCACATCAAAAAATTTTTTTTTGTTTTCATCAAAATCACTCTTCTTTTTCTCTTTTAATCTTAACTCTTTGCTCTCTTACATTATATTTGTTGCAACTACCTTTATCTACAGTATTATGCCATGTCATTCACTCATATTCTTTTGGAGGCAATCTTCATATTCATGTTTTTTCATCTAAAACCTCTTTCACATCATCATTTCACCAAGTATTCATTTTCATATTTCCCATTACTGTAATTTGACACAGTTCTTGTTGCAGTCTGTAACAATTCTTTTCACTCAAAGGAGCTTAGACATTTCTTTCCTCCTGTCCCCTCCCCATTCATTTTGTTGAGTCATTAATTTTTCCTCTATTGCTTTTTCATAGAGGACTCATACTTTCTCTTCCTGCAGTCATTCTATTTCTGCTATGTTTTCTTTCATTTTCTTTCATTTGTTCCATGTCCATTTTCTCCCAAAGAACCATTCTAAGTATTATTAGCGTGATTGATTCCTCAAGACAAATAGGCCTGTTTCTAAAAAAATTACTCATCAGACAATCTCCACTCATTCCTGGGTGTCTGAATGGCCAGGTCACTTTTCCAGTAGTCCCTCACTTTGTTCTCACCCAACCTTTCAAGTCACCTAATTGAACAATTTTTCTCCAGACTCATCCATGGTTCTTTATCACCGTTTGCTGGACAGTAACATGCAACATCTATCTATCTATCTATCTATCTATCTATCTATCTATCTATCTATCTATCTATCTATCTATCTATCTATCTATCTATCCATCCATCCATCCATCCATCCATCCATCCATCCATCCATCCTGTATATAATTTTATTGAAATTTTTAAACACAAGAGTAAGACTAATCCAAACTAAAATAGAGCAAAGAAAAAAAGGAAAAAAGGAAAGAAAATACTAAAGCTGCAAAAAGAAAAAGAGTAGCAGAAAAATTTAAAAAGAAAAAAATATAAAGAAGTGGCTTCCAATCTTCTTTACAGCAGTTATAAGTACAATTATAAATTGGCCTCTAAAGTTACATCATGACTTTCTTCTTTCTATAATCTATCCTATCTAATCATCAAAACCATAAATCAAAAGTTCATTTACAATTATAAATTGGCCTCTAAAGTTACATCATGACTTTCTTCTTTCTATACAATTATAAATTGGCCTCTAAAGTTACATCATGACTTTCTTCTTTCTATAATCTATCCTATCTAATCATCAAAACCATAAATCAAAAGTTCATTTTTTCTTGTTTACACAAGAAGTCCATAAGGGGTTTCCAGTCAACAACAATAAATGTAGATATTGTCTTTCCTCTAATAAAAGTCAGTTTGACCATTTCAGCAAGTTCTGTCATCTTCACCAACCATTCCTCTGTGGTAGATATTGCCAAATCTTTCCATCTCTGTGTGTACAATAATCTCACTGCAGTTATCATATACAAAAACCAACACCAAGTCATCAGCAAATGCCCTTAACTTATAAGTTTCTATGTTAAGGTTTACTCCCACAATTCTCTAATCTTGTCTTATATCTCTATTCAATATTTCAAGAAGTAAAATAAACAAGAGAGGAGGCAATGGGCATCCCTGTCTTGTCCCTTTTTGTATTTCACAGGGTTTTGTATCTCACAGGGTTTTGTATCTCACAGGGATCTCCATTGACAATTATTTGTGCTTTCTGTGACATATAAATTGATCTTACCCATTTTATAAAATTCTCTCCAAAATTCATATCTTCCAAAACTTTAAACAAGAAAGCCCAGTTCAAATTGTTAAAGGCCTTCGCTGCATCCAAGAAAATTAATGTGGCTTGTTTTTCATTATGCTGCTCCAAGTATTCCAAAATGTCCAGCACGTATCTTATGTTATCCTTTGACTGTCTTTTAGGTAAAAACCCACATTGATCCTCATGAATAAATTATTGCAAAATTACTTTCAACCTCACAACCAAAATTGTTGTAAACAACTTACAGTCATTATTCAATAATGATATTGGCCGATAGTTTCTTGTTAAAGTCAAATCTTGTCCCTCCTTAGATATTAATGCTGTATTAACCTCTTTCCAGCTCTCTAGCATCTTTCCTCTCTGTAATATAGAATTCATCATATTTTGTAAAGGTTGTAAAAGTTCGTCCTCAAAACATTTATAGTAAGAAGCTGGTAACCCATCTGGTCCAGGCACCTTTCCTGTTTTAGCCTTTTTTATAACTTTGCAAACTTCACTTATTGTTAGGGGTCCATTCATAATCTTTCTGTTTCTCTGTAATCTTTGGTAAATTTTGTTTCTTTAATATTCATCTATTTTTCCAGGGAAATTTCTTATCCTTTATATAAATTGGAATAATACTGGTGAAATATTTTTTGCATAGCCACATTATTTGTTATTACAGTATCTCCCTCTTGTAATTTCAATATCATTTTCTTTTCGTTTTCTTTTCGTAATTTGTATGCCAACCACTCTCCTGGTTTATTTGCAAACTCAAAATTTTTTGTTTTGCATAATACATTTTTATTTCTTACTGTTAACATAGATAATTGTTGCTGTAGTAGTTTAATTTGTTGAGAAATACTTATCTTCTCTGGAAAATTCTTTAATTCCTCTTCTTTTCTTTTTAGCTTATCCAAAATAGCTTGTGTTTTTTCTTGCCTTTTCTTTCTGAGTTCACTATTATGTTGTCTACAGTAACCTGTCATGAAAGCTTTGCTTGCATCCCAAACCATTCTTACATCTGTACCTTTATTAAGATAATTACAAAAAAACTATTTTAATTTCTTTTTACAATCCTCCATTATTGCTTTCTGTAAGAGCATTTCATTTAACCTCCATCTGAAAGAGCTGGGTTTCCATTTAAAAACAATCTCACTGGATTATGATCTGAAAATGTCTTTGGTAATATCCTTACTTTATGAACTTTAGTAGGCAAATTCTTCAAAATCCAAACTATGTCTATTCTCGAAAAAGATCTATGTCTTTCAGAAAAATAAGTAGACTCTCTTGAATTGCTATTTTAATGTCTCCACACATCAACAAGCTCTTAATTGTCCATTCAATAATTAAAAAAAACCTTTTGGTAGTTTACCTTGTATACTTTTAATATTTTTCTCAGAAGTTCTGTCTACTTGTGGAGAGATCACTCCATACCAATCTCCCATTAAGTACC